AAAAAAAAAAAAAAAAAAAAAAGAAAAGAAAGAAAGAAAGAGAAAAAGAAAGTATGGGTTCAATTCCCAGCAACCAGGGGGAAAAACGTTAGTTCTACAGTGAGGGAGGACACAGCTTCCCACAGGAAATTCGGGGCATCCCTAATAGGAAGTGAGAGAATGCTGGGTGCCCTCAAACACTTAACATTCAGTACACTGAGCCTTGAGCTTCTGAGATAATCCACGTCATACCAGCCACTGTGTGCTGAGCACTCATCACCTGCAAGGCGCAGGGCCCTACCATACAATGAATAACCAGCAGGGTGGTTTCTAGAATTTCCTCCAATTACCAGATGAGGCCAAATGACTTGTCCAAGGCTGCCAAGTGGCTCTGGAGGAATTGGAGCTGAGATCTGATGACCAACAGAAGCCCTTACCAGGGGGCTGTGCTCCAGGAACCCAGCAGTCTGGACCCTGCGTTGCCACAATGGGTCTCACAGCCACGCAGGTCTTCTGGGGCTAGTGGCCCCTCCTCTGAGTCAGGACCTGACGAATTGTCTCTCAGTGCCAGTGGCTCCTGCTCTAAGACAGGGGTCCACCCACAGCTGCGGCTGAGGTTGGGCACATTTTGCTTTAACCCATCAGGGGACACAACACCCCAATGCCATGTTGCCCCCTCTCCTTTGGCAACACAGGAGCAGAAGGGTAAGAGACATGCTGGAACCATCTGCCCAGGGCCTAATAATAAATTGTGAGAGGAACAAGTTCCAGGCAAACACTGCTTTGGGGGGGGCTCTCCCCACACCCAGCCGCCATCTGCCATGTGCTCCTCACATGCCAGGCTATGGGTGGAGGAAGGGATGGGAGGGAGCGCTGAAGGAGGTGCAGCCGGACTCACAGTCTCTTCCTCTCACCAGTGCAGACTGGACATTGTGGGGAGAGAGGTACCCTTGCTGGCTTTGAGCTCCCTGGTCCCTGAGCAGAGGACAAACTCCATTCCTTCAAGATGCCGGTGGTACGTATCGACAGCCACTGGGGACAGTCATGCGCTGTGCTGTCCTGCTCCTGAGTATCACCACGGCACATCCATGTGCACCCACTTTAGAGATGGGAGCCTGGAGGAGCAGAGACGTTCACTGTCTCACGCAAGAGGGCAGAGCCAAGGCTTGAACCCAGGCCCCCAGAGGACACCCTTTCCCCAACATGGGCAGGCACATCTTCAGATGCCACAATGAGGCCAGCTGCATGTGTGCCATGTAACAGACCAGCAGCTGATGTCACCCGGGGTGGCCTTTTACCTCAAGCGAGCCCTGCCTAGGCTGCCCTCTGCCCTCCACCACCATGCAGCTTCCAGGTCATCTGATCCCTAGCTTTCAGCTATCTCCCCCAGTCGAAGAAGTACAGGAGAAAGGACTCAGAGTCTCCTCCAGAACTTTCAGAGAAGGTCAAGGAGCAGCTGGCCGAGGCCGAACTCTGTAAGCTCAGGCAGCAGTTCCGGAAGATGGTGGACAGCCGGAAGTCCTTCAACTTCCTCAGCCAGCGGAAGATTGCCAGCCAATGGTGAGGGACAGGAGGGGTTTGCACCCAGGCCCTGGGGGGGACAGCTGGGGTTCACTTTCATGATCCCTATCTTCTTCCCTGTGGCTGCTGGGGAGGGGGGACCCCCTTCTGAGCCCAGTCAGGTTCTTTTAATCAGACTCTGGTGGGGAGAGAGCCTCATTTTCAGTGGCCACAGCGGGAGGGAGGATTGTTTATCAGGGTGTCTGGGGCTCCCTGGGGGCAGGACACCCACATCTCAAGGGAAAGCCTTCAATGAGGAACCATTTCTGGTTTCTGTTTCTCTTCACATGAGTTTTACTCTTCCCTGTCTCTTTGAATTTCAAGCCTGGCTGGCCCCATATCTGGAGTCTGCCAGTGACCAAGGGCCAGGCAAAGAGATTATCTTCAATGACTCCAACCCCAAATTCCCAGGAAAGGCAGAATCTGATTGGCTCAGCTTGGGCTAGGTGTCTACTTCTAGTCCAATCAGCTGCATCGTGGGTGGGGCCCGACAACTCAACGGAGTGTGGGCGTGGCTCTCCCTGCCAGTTCTAGCACGTAGCAGGGAAGCCTCCTAGCCCTGAGCTGTGATATTCAATAGCATTTCCTCTTTGTGTGTCCTTATGGGAACTGCAAGATAGACTGTTTGAAATTGGATTGCTTTAGAAACGACACTGTGTACATTTTGCTGAGCAATAGAAAGGTGTTCCCTTGAGATACACAAACACTAAATAACATTCTTTGATTCTCCCAAAAGAATGTAATTATTCAGCTATATCCGAATGCTTCTAATAGAAAGTGTCCGTCATTAAAAAGAAAATGTCACACAGGGTTATAGAGTCTGAGCATGTTCTCCCATATTTATTAGATCACATATTAATGACACATTTAAAATTTATTACCTTTATTAAAATTCTCCTGTGTGTGCGCTCACACACACACACACACACACAGAAAAATCTCATTTCTAGATAATATATAAAGGTCAAAGGATGGATAAGAAGGATTCTCTAGATTTTCCATGGATTCACTTATCAGAGCCAGGACTTGTCCTTAGGGGACATTCATAGGAATTTTTTAGTCATCTTTTCTCAAGCCTCTTTACTGCCATCTGTTGGGAAAATGGTCATTATGCAGGGATTGCATTAGAACAAGAAAAAGTATGTCCTAGGAAAGAGTAACACATCAACCAATCAGTAATGCCTTGCTGGCCTTCCCTCTTGTGCAGTCCACAACCTGTACACCTGGCCTGGCCATCCTGCTCCTTAGCTCACTCCCGGTAGACATCAGGAAATTCCCCCTTCCCGGTGTGTCTCGAAGTCCATCGTTTGATCTGGCTTCAGTTTGATGGCACTGAAGGGGAGGGGTGTGGGAAAGTACAGAGATTATGTTCTTTATAGAGTCAGAATTAGGCACGGTGTCTGGGGCATGATAGCTAAGGAGGCTCTTTCCCCAGCACTGACCTGAATTACACCATCCTGAGAATGAGCAACTCCTTAAATTTTGGGGTCTTACTACCCTCACCCAGTCTCAGCCCTGCCTACGAGACACACACAACCCTCCTTTTGCTCTCACCTCCTCGTCCTGCCAGACTAACTTGGAGCTGTCTCTGTTTTTCTCTCCACGTGTTAATAAAGACCTCTTCCAGAAGGTGGGGGGCGGTTCACAGCCGCAGATTGACCTTGTGCTCTGGTCATGGGCACATGTGACTACTGAAATTGTAACTGATTAAGGAAAATGAAAATTTAAGTTCTTCAGCACACCAGCTGTGTTTCCGAGCTCACTAAACATACGTGGTGCAGAGAGGGGTCATTCCCATCTTTGCAGAACCTGCAGGACAGCTGGCAGCCCAAGGGCCAGCTCTGGCTGGCTACTGGCTTTTGTAAATAAAGTTTTATTGGCACACAGCTGTGCCTATTTACCCATGCATTGCCCATGGCTACTTTCACGTGGCAGGGAGAGGTGAGGGTTTGCAGAAGGGACTGTGTGGTCCCTAAAGCCTCAAATGTCTACTCTTTGTTCTTTTATAGAGATAGTTTGCCAATCCCTGCCCTAGAACATTCTAGAGCCAAGCTTCCCACTCTTTAATGTGCATATGGAGCACTTGAGGATCTTGTTACAAAGCAAATTCTGCCCTACCAGGTCCAGGGCTGGTACCTGAGATTCTGCATTTCTCCAGGCTCCCAAAGGACACTGAGGCAGTTGGTCTGCGAACCACACCAGCAGCTGGTGTCGTTGGCAGGAAGGCAGTTACTGTGCTGCTCCCCAGTGTTTGGATGCGTTTGCTGGGCGGTCTCCCAAGCCTCCTTTTCACAGAACCCTGCCCTCACTCACCCCTCCCAGCTCTTCTCTAGAACAGAAAGAGGGAGGGAGAGGAGGAGACTCGCATCAACATCAGTTAAGTCCACTGCTACCTGCCCCCGCACCCCAGCACAGAAGCTGGCAGGGTTCAGGGTTATCTTGCATCTCCCATCTCTGTGTTGATGCAAACTTGAATATTCCTGCCTGTTGGTTTGCCCCTCCTTACCGGGATAATTGGCTGTAAAGTCTGGGAAGATGGTCGGCAGAACCCGGAAAGTGCCAGTGAGCTGCCTTAAGGGGGAAGTTCCCTTTCTAGCTAATGGGTTTTGACAAGGATGGCTGCAAATTATCCCCTGGGAATGACCCCCCAAGCAGACAGAGCAGGGGACACTGTGGCCACCTGGGGTTAGCTATCCAGTTTCCAGCCCCAGTTCTGGGACCTCAGGCCACCCTCCTCTACCAGCTGAGGCAAAGTCTGTCCCCAGGCTCTATCCAGGTCATTTTGGGGTGCAGAACTACTTCTGGACTGCTTTCCTGACAGCAAGGAAATCCAGACTCTGAAAGCAGAGCAAGAAGAGATCACCCTGCTTCTGAATCTCATGAGGTCCCCCAAGAACCTGGATCTGAATCAGAAAAACTACCTGGAGCTGCGCTTCCTGTTGCAGGCCAAGGAGGACTACGAGGCGCTGATCAAGTCCATGCGGGCGCTGCTGGCCGAGATGGATGACAAGGTGTGGCCTCCTTGAAGAAGCTCAGCTCAGAGCAGGGCGAGGGGAGCAGTGGGTACCAGGACGCCTCCCCTGGACCTGACACCGCCTGCTGTGACTTCCTGAGGGGACCACTGGCCATGGCCACTGCCTGGTGCCCTCAGGGCTTCACAATCCATAGCACGGCCTTGGGGTGGGGTTATGCTGGCAGTGGTGCCACCCCGATGAGCTAGGAGGACAGAGGGCCCCAGATGGTCTCACCCTGGCCACTGGGTACACGAATTGCTTCCACTCAGGATTCTTTGGCTCAAAACAGACCTGTGACTTCCCCATCCCCAGACTGGCAGGCAGTGAAACCTTCCTGTGTCGACCCAAAGGCAAAGAGCTGAGAGTAGGTGGGTGGGTTAATAATCGTGTCCTGGACTAGGCTTGGAAGGCCTTGCAGATCTGCGCCTGAATTATTCCTCGGCTGCAGACGCTTCAGCAGTTTCCTGCTGCCCTTTTGGCAAAGGCCAGACTCCCCAGGGGTACTGGCGGACAGCCTCTCCAGTCCTCTCTGCATCCGCATCCCACCCACTCATGTTCCTTCTGCTTTCTGGGTGCCTCCCCCTGCCCAACCTCTGAGCTTGGCCAGCTCCTATTCATCTGCTAGGTTCCAGCTCAAATGCTAGTGCACGCCTGGGAGGTGTCCCACATTCCTCGTCTGTCCTTTTCCAGAGGCGCATTGCCCTCCGTGGCTTGTTCCTGGTGCTAGATTGCAAGTTCTCTGAGTGCAGGGACCCCAGGGGTGTCTTGGTGGCCATCATAAGCCTGCTGTCTGGCACAGAGTAGGTGCTTAGTAGACATGAATGAACGAGTGGGGAAGGAGGCCGTAACAAAGAAGAGGGAAATTGAAAAGGAACAGGAACCTGGGCCTTCAGAAGTGTGAGGAAAAGGCAGCCTAGTTGGGATCCTCCACAGGCCTCCCCTTCCTGAAGCACCACGCCACCCACCCCCAGGCTGGAAGGGTCCAGAACCGCACCTACTTGTGCCCACCACACAATGGCAGATCCTCGTCCTTGTAGATGTTGCCGAAAGGGGTGGGGGGGCTCGTTTGACCCCGTCCGGCCTCCGGGAACATCATCAGCTGATGGAAAATGGCATCTTGCTTGGGGACTGTACTTGTCCTATGGCTGTGGCCTGGGATTGTGGTTCCCATCAGCCTCCAGCCTGACTCTCAGCATGGAGGGGCTGGATTGTGAGCTACACAGGACCCCTGGGGACATGCTCTGCAGGGGACAGAGGCTCCTGGGCTCTGGGATTCCCTGTAGGGCAGAGGGGGGTGTCCCTGCAGGGCAGGTGATGTCACAGTCTCCACATGCCAAGCTCACTTGTAGATATTAAAACAGGTGAATGGACACTTTTTCAGTACTAGGATTGAACTCAGAGCCTTCACACTGAGCTACACCCCCAACCCTTCTCATTTTTTATTTTGAGACAAGGACTCATTAAATCACTAAACCACTCAGGCTGGGCTCCAATCTCAATCCTCCTGCCTCAGCCTCCCAGTGTGCTGGGATTACACCCTGCTCTGTTGTCATTTTATTCTGTCCATGAGTTAGTGAGGGTTTGTGCTGGGGATGCTGCTTGTGCTTAGGACAGAAGAGAAGGACAGAGCAGAGCAGGAAATCTGATTTGACTAAAGGTCAGAGCTGCTTTGAGAGACTGAGAGAGAGAGAAAGAGAGAGAGGGAATATTTGTGTCCCAGCTGACATCCCATGTTAGTCACTTTCCAGCACTTTTAAAATTCCTGAGATAATCAAGGTACAAAGAGGAAGGCTTCGCTTGGGCTCACGGTGACCAAGGGGCATCCCATGAGCTCCCCACTCCTAAGGGTTCCGCAGCCTCAGATGGCCCAGCTCTGGGTCATGAACCTTTAATGCCTGAGTCTCAGGAACATCCCAGACCCAAAGTACAGGACTCTGCACCCTATGCTGTCCTTTAGCTGGCCCATTTGACTTCTCTGTGCCACCTGCCCACCGCGGCTTGCAGCCACCAACATAGATTGTTTTTTCAGTGCCCCATGGTGACGGCTGGAACCGTACTCTGCTTGTAACCTTTGGGAGGCGAGGCGGATGAAAACCCAGGGACACCAACACAGATCCCCAGGTGTACCTGCTCCCAGAAGCTTGGCACTGGGGCCTGTGCAGCTGATAAGGCTTGTAGTTCACCTGCAGCCTTGTTTAAAACCTCTCAAATCCAGAGCAGGCCCTAGGACGGAGACTGTTCTCAAAGGGGGCTAGGAGCTGCCACCTCTTGGCAAACAGGGATGCAGCAGGCTGCTTTTGATGGCAATGGCGCCTTTGTTGTCATCATAAGTAAGTAAATAAAGAGTCAGAGCTTAGTCTTGGCCACTCAGAGGACGAGGCCCTGATTATGAGGACCCAGTCCTTGCCAGCCTCGAAGGACACGTTTCTTCAGAGGACAGTTCCACAAGTGTGTCCAAGGTCTCCTGGGATTTTACATAAGACAGCTGCATCTTGAAGGAGCTAAACATCAGGCAGGGAATAAAGCTGGTTGCCTGGGTGTGGACTGTAGCTCACAGTGGGCTGCTTGCCACAGCTGGCGGTTTGTGGGAATGATGTGTGAGTGACTGTGGCTTAAGATTCAAGGGACAGTGTCCGAGGAAGGTTTGGATCTGGAGAACTAAGCCTGAGTTATGAGATTGGAGAGAGACACCGAAATCCTTCCCTGTCTGCTGCGGTGGGGTGAGTGTTACTGAACTGAAGCCAGAGCCGGTTAGCCCCATGGGGAGATTGGACTGTGTCTCTTAGGAGTGTTTCAGGCTGCAAGTAACATGATACCTGATCAAGGGAGGCCGGCACCAAAGGATATGTATTTATCCATTTCTTAAAGTAAATCTTTAACCTTGGGATCATTTTAAATGTATAAAACATCTACAAAGATAACAAATTTCTCACAGACACTTCATCCCGTTTCCCCTAATGTGAGCATCTTATGTTACCTTCATCAAAACTGAGAAACTAACTTTGGCACACGACTGAATCAAACTATGCTCTTTATTGATTGTGATTTTGCCAGTTTTTCCATTCATGTCCTTTTACTGTCCCAGGGTCCCATCCAGGGCACCCATTACCTTTAGGTTATTTTTTCACTTAACAAGAAGTTCCCTGGGCACAGGTGGCCTCAGGATCCATTTGTCTGATATAACACCTGACTTCCCTGAGCCTAGACCCTGCTTCCCTCCGTCCTGGGCCACGTCCACTTGCTGGGAGGAAGAAGGTCCCACTGTCCTTTGACAAGGCCAGGCCCCTCCAGAGCTCAGTGAGTACCTTCCTTCCTGATGACCTGGCCACCTTGGTGACTTGAGAGCCCCTTGGCTCTCAAGTGGGCCTCTTCCTCCAAGGTGTCCTTCTCCAAGGGCCTCCTTAAAATAACCTAAGAACCAAACACAAATACTAAACGAAACCAATTTTTCTGCAACTCCAAACCACTGCCCACTCTGTCCTTCTAGAAAATTCTGGCAGGATTTGACTATGCTCTGTTTCTTTTTTTGTTTTTTGATACAGGGTCTCACTGTGTAGTTGAGACTGACCTGGAGCTCACTGTGTAGCCCAGGCTGGTCTCAAACTCACAGCTATCCTCCTGCCTCAGCCTCCCGAGTGCTGGGATTATAGGCCTGCACCACCACACCTGGCCACTCTGTTTCTTTTTAAAGCAGACACTATTTCCACTTCTACCCCCACTGTTGGGAGCAACATATACTCCACCAAATCGCCTTTCTCTGGGGCCACCAGGGTCCTCGATCTCTCCAGAGCGAATGGCCCTGCCTCAGCTTTCAGCCGTTTTTGAATCTGTGAACGCTGAACTCCTCAGCAGGAAATGGCCTCCAGATGCAAAGGCCATTGTTCAATCCCTCAGGGGTGGTGGCTCTTAGACCTACCACTCCAAAGCCGTTTCTTTTCCTTTTTTTCTGCTTTTCTCCCCTCACTGAGCTACTAAGTACACACAGTCAAGCACAAGCATCTTACAAGTGCTATTCAATGAGTTTTTACTTCAGTACTGAGAGAAAGATATAGATCATTTTAAAACCCATAGGGCTGCCTTGGTTCCTTTCCAGTAACACCCTTGAAAGAGTCCCCATCCTGCTGTCTGGCATCCTGGGTTCGTTTTGCCTACATAATGAGCTGTATATAAAATGTCCTCTTCTAAATGTGCTCTTCTGTTTGACTTCCTTTATTCAGCATCAGCAAGCATCACCTTTTCAACACTAAATAAATACCCTGTTACAATCCTAAAATGTAATTCATATATGGCAAAGTCCTTTGCCCTTATTTATTTATTTTTGTACCAGTGATCGAACTCATGACCTTGTGCTTGCAAGGCAGGCACGGTGCCACTGAGCTAAATCTCTGGCCCTTTTGCCCTTATTTTTTAAAATCAAGACGATGGCCTAAGTATAATATAAAGGAAAAATGAAGGAAATCCATTCACACAACAATAAAATTTATTTTGACGTGAATGTTCTGGTCTACAGCAAAGTCACTAAACTGTGTCTGCAGAAGACCAGATGGTGGATATTTAGGCTTTGTGAGCCACATGGTCTGCAAGGAAGCCACTTAACTTCACCTGTGTAGCATGAAGTCTGAGGCCACAGGCAGTACATAAATGAACAGGCAGGGATGTGTTCCAATAAAAGTTTATTTTTAAAAATAAGCAGTGAGCCAGATTTGGCCATAGATGGACATAGTTTGCAGACCCCAAACTGAAGACTGTTTCAGTCCTGTGTATCCCTGACTCAGAACAGGATCTAGGTAGTGCTAACAGCAAGATTTCTGCAATGGTGACCAACCCTTGGTGAAGTTCCACACAATAATTTTCCCTTGCTTTAGGCGGTGACTTGGTCACTGGACAATCCAGTGTCTATTGGAACTGAATGAAAAGCAGTGCGTTCACATATGAAAAAGAGTTTGATTGCAGGTACAGAAAGCGTAATTGTTTTTCGCCTGTGCAATGCCTTGATGGGAACTGGGAGGTCACAAGGGTTGGAGGACAGTTCTTGGATAATGTCTGGTGCTGTCCCAAACACTGCCAGGTGTATGGCATTTGGTGACCCACCCGTTAAGTCCCAGAAGCACCCAGTCATCGCAAGCACCGAACAGCACTTGTGCATGGTTACAGAAAGTCCCTTGGAGGACAATGTCCTGTCTGCTGGAAAGCATGGCTTAGACAGGCCGAGCTTGTATTGGCAGGTGATAAAATTCACGGGCACAGGAGAGAGCCAGAACTCAAAATTGCCCCATTTTACCCTAAATTGGCTAAGATTAAGTTCAATTGAACAGGCACTGAAGAGATAAATCACACTTCTCTTTACAAGACAAGAAAAACTATTGCAGGTTTTTCTTTAGCTTACTTCAGGGGGTGAACTGTAGAATTTGTATCCCTGCAGATGTTAACACAGCTGGGTGCTCTCTTTTTCAGATTATTCAAATGGAAAAAAAAGTAAAAACCCAAAAACAGACCTTCATAAAAATGCAAGAGGCCAGTAACCCCCGGAAACTGCAAAAACAGATTCACAGTTTGGAAACCCGTTTGAACCTGGTAAGGTAACCCGGGCAGTCCCACCCTTTGCTCAGGACACACCCATTTCTGTGGTTGCCCCAGGAGATGGTGATGGACACACAGGCTGGGAAGCTGTTATGTGTGGGTCTCTTCTCCCGCCTCCACTCTCTACTCAGCCCCCACCATGTCTGTGATGTCCACTCTTAAATTTTCTGCCTCAAAAACTCCTGCTTCTGGCCAGAGGGGGGCACTGTGGTGCAGTGGTAGAGCACATGCTTTAGCATATGTGAGGCCCTAGGTTCAGTCTTCAGCACAGCACCGACCAAAATAAAAACTTGCTTGTTTTTTAGAAGCAATTTGAATGTTACCCTTTTCCAGGCAGAATTAGACCCTCCTCTTCCATGGCTCTGCTCAGAGCAAGCGCCTTCTTGTTGCTGAGCTTATCAACTCTATGAATAACTAAGCAGACACTCGCAGAGCTTGATCATGGGGAAGGTGATATCTGAGCACGCTCAGTTTTCAGTGACTTTTGCATTAAGCTGTTGAATTCAGAGCCTCACACATGCTGGACAAGCTCTCTACCTCTGGGCTCCATTCTCCACCTCTTTTAAAATTTTGATTTTGAGAAAGGGTCTCCCTAAATTGCCCAGGCTGGCCTGGAACTTGCAATCCTCCTGCCTCAGCTTCCCAAGTGCCTCGGACTACAGGCATGCACCACCATGCCCAGCTTACACTAGAATCTCTTAATTGCAAACTGGTTTAAAACCCACAAAAAGGGACTTCCAGGAAGATGGCAGGGTGATGAACAGCAGGAAAAGAGCCTCTCTGAGATCTGGTATCCAGACAATGAAATATAGCAATGTGGGGAAGAGAAGGAGGAGGGAAGTGGGTCCCCAGGACCCAAAAAGGATCTGAAGGAAGACGTGAAGGCCATAGGGAGAGCGAAGAGAAAAACTGCAACAAAGGAGGAGGAGGTAGCAAGCGATGCTTTCTTCCTGAGGCTGGACTCACTGCGTGGGAGGGTCGGCTTGAACCTTCAGATTCATGGTGATTCCTGGTCACCCCAGAGGCTCCACAGAGAAATGCACCAATGGAATGGAACGGACTCCGTGGCTGGTGCATTATTTCCATTCAGACATCCCCCAGGAGAGGGCGATTGGACGGGGAGCCATTTTGAAGAGGGACCAAGCTTGGAACTCTGAACAGCTGTGCGATGGCTCCATCTAGTGGCTCCAGGATCAGCGAGTCTGCGGCGTTCAAACTGGCAAGAAGTCAGGGAGCCAAATTCAAACTCACAGAGTAGAGTTAACTTCTGTGGAACTAACAGTGTAGGCTTGCTAGGGTTATCCACTGCCCTGCTATAAAACTATGCCTGGCTTACTTGCTGGGATTAATTAACTTGGACCTGGCCTCAGTCTGCCCATGTTGTCCATCAGTGACAGCAGAGAGTAGACATTGTTTTCTTATTTTCTCCTGCTGTTTTTTGTTTTGTTTTGTGGGACTGGAGATCAAGCTCTGGACTTTGTGCTTGTGAGGCAGGTGCAGCACTACTGAGCTAAATCCCTGACCCCGCTGTTTTTTTTTTTTTTTTTTTTTTTTTTTTTTTTTTTTACTGGGCATCGAACTCAGGTCCTTGAGCTTGCAAGGCAGGGGGTAGAAACATTGAACTAAATCCCCGGATGTTCTTGTTTTTATATGAGGGTGAACATGGTTTCTAGGCTCATTTTTTAAAATGTGTGTGCTATTGTTCCATTCTATTCTTGGTTTTAGTTCTTCCCTCTCTTTCCCTCCTGTCTTTTTCATCAGGTTCCCAAAATTTTCATGATCTTCCTTGTCCTCCTTCAGCCTCACTTCTGATCTCTTCCTCCTCTTCTATTTCTTTATTCCCCCCATAGCCCCTTTTAAATTTTCTTCCCTGAGGGTAAAATTGCCATCTTGAGAGCTTAGTTACTGCCTACAATTTTCTGGTTTGCTTTAGATTTTGTTATATAACCACAAATCTAGTTCATAGGGTTATAGGTGGCAAATTAATAGTTGTCACAGTTTGTCATTTTCTAGGCTGTGTTTGATGCTATTGTTATTGCTGATTGTACTGTTTTAGCCAAGGTGACATAGCTGTGCTAAGTAATTGTGTAAGGGTCTTAAGAAATACTATAGGCCAATGCCAAAGAACCAGAGGCTGGGGCAAGGAGGTAGCAACTTTTCATCCCCAATAAATTGAAGAGGAAGGATCTTGCAACACTCTCAAAACAAAAATCCAGCTATTCTACGAAGATGCTACTGAGAAGTAGTCATTTCTTAAGGGTTCAAATACTAGCAATAAAGCTACTTGCCATAAGCAATTTACAAGCATTAACCCAAGAATTAAACTGAAAAAGGAAGAAAAGAAAAGAAAATGAGAGGCATTTAAACAAGATATAATCCCAGACTTTCAGCTCACCAAAAACAAACCCAGGGATAGATGAAATGGAGTCCAAAAGCCACCCACCCGGACTCTGAAGTGGTAACACTGGAAGTAACAAAGCAGATGAACAAGGCTTTAGAAAAAGTCATTGAGAAATAATTTCTTGGTAACTATACAGACGGCAACCAGAATGAAAGACATGATTAGTAACTCTAGAACAGATACAGATTTTTAAAAAATAGAGTGTAGGAAAATGATGAATACCATGAACACTCAGCATAGGAGAGAAATGGAACCCACGAAATGGATTCAAACAGCTATTCAGGAGATTAAAAATTCCATTAAAAGTATACACAGCAGAATGAGCCAATGTGAGGACAGAATACTAGATATACAAAATAGGACTGCAGTTAGGATGATGAAAAGAAAAAAGTTCTTAAAAATACCAAAGAAGCATGAGAAATCAATCCAGCAGCTGCTAGATGATACAAGGAAGAATAACATAAGATTGATGGAGTCAATGAAAAAGGAGAAGATAGTACAAATGACATAAAACACTTGTCACAGAAGTCATGGCAGAAAACTTACCAAACAGGGAAGAAGAATTTGACACACAGATGAGGGCTATAGAACTCCAATTAGTCAAGGTCAAAAAAGTCTACACCAAGGCATATAATAATCAAGATTCCAGAAATTCAACAGAAGAATAGGTTTTTTTTGTTTTTGTTTTTGTTTTTGTTTTTGAGATGGGGTCTCACTTTGTAGCCCAGGCTGGTCTTGAACTCACAGCAATCCTCCTGCCTCAGCCTCCCAAGTGCTGGGATTATAGGTGTGCACCACCATGCCCGGCACAAGAACAGAGTATTAAAAGCTGTTACAGAAAAGAAACAAATCACCTATAAAGGAAAGCTCATCAGAATCATAGCAGACTTCTCAACACAAACCCTCAAGTCAAGGAGAGCCTGGAGTGAAGTATCTCAAGCCCTAAACCTCCAACCCAGATTAATGTACCCCACAAAACTATATTTCAAAATAGATGGAGAAATAAGATACTTCAGTGACAAAGAATACCTGAGGAAATTTATGAATACCAAACCAGCACTCCAAAACGTTCTGAAGGGTACTCTAGAAAGAAATAACAAGGATTACAATTCTATGAACTACAACAGAATGAATCCACCAGGCAAGGTGAGAAATTAAAGACAGGGGAAAGAAAAGGAACCAACAACAGGAAAATAGCATGACAAGGATAAGCCAATACATATCAGTTATAACTGTCAACATTAATGGTCTCAATTCACCAATCAAAAGAAGCAGACTGACAGAACGGATCAAGAAGCAAGATTCAACAATAATGTTATATAGAAGAAGCAAATTTAATTTAAAAATACATTCACGGATTAAAAGTCAAAGGATAGAAAATAATACTCCATGTGACAGGAACCCAGAAAAAAACAACAGAGGTAGCTATTCTGTTTGCAGACAAAGTGGATTTCAAGCCAAGGATGACTGAGAGACAAAGTAGGTCATTACATGCTTGTAAAGCGAACAGTCCAAGAGGAAGAGACAACAATCATAAATATATATGCACCAAATACCAGAGCACCCAACTATATAAAATAAATATTAACAGACATGAAAAATGAAATAGGCATGAATACAATTGTAATGGGGGACCTCAAGACCCCACTGTCACAAATATACCAACTAAACAAAAAAAAGAAAGCAACAAAGAAATATCAGAACTGAAGCAAACTTTTGAACAAATGGACTTAGTAGATGTATATAGGGTTCTACCAATTCTATCTTTCAGCAGATTTAGTATTTCTGTTTTAAAATTTAGATCTTTGATCCATTTTTATTTTAGTTTAGTACATGGTGAAAGATAGGGATCTAGTAATCTTGGGCACGTGGGAAGCCAGTTTCCAGCACCATTTTTTAAAAAGGTTATCTTTATTTCAGTGAAGGTGTTTGCCTCCTTTGTCAAAGATAAGATGGCTAAGTATGTCTGGAGTTGCTTCTGCATCTTCTAATCTGTTCCATTGATCCTCAGGTCTGTTCTTTCACCAGTACCATGCTGTTTTATCACAGTAGCTTTGTAGTATAATTTAAAGTCAGGGATTGTGATGCCCCCTGCCTTGCCTTTGTTGCCCTGAATTGCTTTTGCTATTCTAGGTCTCTTCTGGTTCCAAATGAATTTTGTGATTTTTTTCTCCAATTCGGTGAGTTCTGCTATTGGTATTTTGATCTGGATCACATTAAATCACAATTTTGGAAGTATACCCATTTTCACTATATTGGTTCTTCCTACCCAAGAACAAGGGAAATCTTTCCATTTTCTGATATCCTCTTCAATCTCCTTTTTCAGAGTTCTGTAGTTTTCAATGTAAAGTTCTTTTAATCACTTCATCAGATTGGTTCTTAGGTATTTCATTTTTCTCAGTGCTATTGTGAAAGGTGTTTCCCTAATTCCTCTCTCCACGAGTTTGTCATATATGTGCAGGAAGGCTTTTGGTTTTTTTATCCAGCTATGTATACCAGAGGATTTTATATCCAGCTATGCTACTGAATTTGGTTATTAAATCTAGAAATTTTTTGGTGGAGTTTTTGTGGTCTTCTAGGTAGAGTATCATGCCATCTGAAAATAATGATGATTTACCTTCTTCCTTTCCTATCCTTATTTTTATTTCTTTCTCTTGTCTAATTGCCCTCACCAATGTTTCTAGAACTATATTGAATAAGAACTATTTTGAAAAAGAGTGGGCAACCTTGTTCCTGATTTTAGAGAGAAAGCTTTCAATTTTTGTTCATTTAGTATGATGTTTGCTGTTGGTTTGTCATAGAGGCTTTTATCAGATTGAGATAAAGACCATCTATCCCAATTTTCTGTAGGGTTTTCATCATGAATGGGGTTGGACTTTGTTAAATGCTTGTTCTGCATATGGCTTTTGTCCTTGGCTCTGTTAATATAGTATATTACATTAATTGATTTGCATATGTTGAACCATCCCTGCATCCCTGGGATGAATCCTACTTGGTCATGGAGTATAACTTTCTTGATGATTCACTGCATTCTGTTTGCCAATATTTTATTGAGGAGTTTTGAATCTGTGTTCATAAGGGAGATTGGCCTGTAGTTCTCTGCCCTGATTGGATCCTTCTCTGGCTTTGGTATCAGGTTAACGCTTTCTTCCAGGAACGAATTTGGGAATATTGTGTCTCTTTCAATTTCATTAGAGTTTGAGAACCAGTAGCATTATATCTTCTCTAAATTTCTTGTAGAATTCAGCAGTGAATTTGTCAGAGCCTGGGTTTTCTTTATTGGTGGGTTTTTAATACATCTTCAGTTTCATTGACTGATATTGATTTATTTAGAATTGTTATATCTTATTATCTCCCCCCCACCTTGCACCAGGGATTAAACTCAGGACCTTGCACTTGCAAGGCAGGTGTGAGGCCTCTGAGCTAAATCCACAGCCCATGTTATATCTTCTTGATTCAACTTTGGTAATTCATCTGTCCCCTTTGCTAACGTAGTAAAATCAGCAACAAGAATAGCATCAAACCCAGCCTACAAAATGACAAACTGTGGTAATTATTGTTTTACCACCTGTAACTGAATGAACTAGATTTATGATTATTTAACAAAATCTAAAACAAACCAGAAAATTGTATACGGTAAATATGCCCTCAGTATGGTGATTTTATTCTCAGTGGAGAAAATTTAAAAGGGGGTTGGGGGGAAAAACAGAGACACAGAAGAAGAGGAAGAGATTAGAAGCAAGGCTAGAGAGCTGAGTGAGGTGGTGCACACCTGTAATCCCAGCTCTTGGGAGGCTGAGGCAGGAGGATCGCTGTGAGTTCGAGACCAGCCTGGGCTACATAGTGAGTTCCAGGCCAGCCTCAACTACATAGTGAGACCCTGTCTCAAAAACAAAACAAAGAAACAAAAAAACCAAGAAGCAAGGCTAGAGGACAAAGGAAGACTGCACCAGCTTTGGGAAACTGTTGAAGACAGGAGAGAAAGGGAGAAGGAAGAAATAAAAATAAGACTAGAACAGAATAAGAACAACAAAAAATACTAGAAATTGTTCAGACATACAAAACCAAGAACAAATAATCAAGAAAAAAGAAAAGAAACAAAACAAAAACAAGAGAAGGAAAAAAATAAGAAAAAGAAGCCCACTTCAAGGCATACCTCTGCTGTCACTGGTAGACTGGGCAGACAGTACCCAGACCCAAGTTAATTAATCCCAGCAAACCAGCCATAGAGTTATAGTGGGATAGTGGCTAATCTCAGCAAGCCTGCACCTTTAGTTCTGAGGCACAGGCTAGTTTCGGGCTAGAACCCAATTCGTTCAGTCAGCAACACTCCTTTTGTGTCCTCCCAGCTGGAAATTGGCTCCTTGACGTCCTGCTGATTTGAATTTGATTCTCTCTCACCCTGTCCCTGGGAGCCTCTACATGGAGCCGGCCCACAGCTCAGTTGGCCCCTCTCCAAGATGGCGACCGGCCAGTTGCCCTCTCCTGGGGTGTGTCTGAGCCTGAATAATTCAACAGTCCCTGCGGTCTCCTGAGTTCACTGCTCCATTCCACTGGTGCATTTCTCTGTGGAGGACTCCAGGGTTGCTAACAATCACTGTGCATCTGCAAGTTTGAGCTGCTCTTTCCAGGCAATGAGTCAGGACTGAGGTAGACAGCTCTGCTTGCCACCTCCTTCTTCATTGAAATCTCTCTTTTTGCTCTCCCCATGGGCTTCACCTCTTGCTTCAGATCCTTGCTGGATCCAGAGGACGCACTTCCTTTCTTCTCTTCTTCATGCTATTATAGTCCAACGTCTGGACACCAAATCTCAGAATGGCTGTTTCTCTGCTGTTCACCACTTCATCTCTTAACATTAACAGTTTTCTGCCATAATCACAATACCCATATTGCACTTGAGAAGATTAATATTTCCTTAAATATTACTCAATACTATATTAAAATGTCTCTGGTTGGTCCCAAAATCTCTTTAAAGGTTGATTAAATCAAGGTTCGTATAATTGTCATTGCATCTATGTTTTTAAAATCTAGAATAGTGGTTTTTAGTTGGAGTGTGATTTTTGTCCCCAGAGGGACACTGTCACCTAAGGGAGATGCTTTCAGTTGGCACAGTGGGTCGGGGTTGGGGGTGCTACTGACATCTCGTGGTATCAAACTTCCTTCGAAGCACACCAGCCCCTGTCACAAAGCCACACAGCCAAAAACACCAGTAATGCTGAGTTTGAGAAACTCAGCTCCAAACAGCTCCATGGAAACTGTCTCATGCCACCAGTTTGCTAAGGGTCCAAGCCAATTGTCCTGCAGAAAGTTCTGTTTTGTGTTGAGACAGTGTCTCATTATATAGTTCAGGCTGGCCTTGAACCCACTATATAGCCCAGGCTGTCCTCAAGTTCGTGGTAATCTTCCTGCCTCACCCTCTTGAGTACTGGAATTACAGGTGTGCACCACCACTCCAGGTTAATTCTGTAGAAATTTCTGACTTCTGGATTGGGCCAGTTATTTCCATTTCTCTTGGTGCCATTCACCTTGTTCCTGCCTTGCATGTAATTGCTGAAAACTGAAGTTTGGACTAAGAGCGTTGAGAAATGTGAAATCCAGAGTAAAGACCCATCAAAGGCCACTTGGCCAGTTGGTGGCCAACTCACCCTCTCACCCAGTGCTCCAGTCCTTGTTCTGTGGCCCTGGGATGAGAGGTGGGGAAAGACCTTCCTAACCCCCGATGCCTTCTGGAAACTTCTCTCTTGCCCCAAGAGTGACCCCTACGTGCACCCAACAGGTCACTGTGCACTTTGACAAGATGCTGATGACCAACGCCAAGCTCCGGAAGGAGATTGAGGACCTGCGGTTCGAGAAGGCTACTTATGACAACGTGTACCAGCAGCTGCAGCGGCGCCTGCTCACGCAGAAGAAGACCATGAATGTGGCCATTGAGCAGTCTGCCCAGGCCTACGAGCAAAGGTGTGGGCAGCACTGGGGCCATGGCCCATGGCTCCCGGCTGAGCTTGGCTTCCTTGTATGTGGCGGACCTTAAATCACAATGGTGATAGCTCCACATGCTGTCTACCTGCCCAGCACAGTGCCAGGCACTCTGTGCGGTGCTTCAGCCTCCACGGTTCTCCTAGGAGTTGTTGTCCCCATTATCTAGACCAGGGCATGGAGGCTCGGAGATGCTAGAATACTCACCTGAAGTCCACGGAAGCAGCAGTTGGGGTGGAGCTGAGACTCAAACTTCTGGTCAGCACCATCCCCTCCAGGTGTCCTGCTTCTAGTTCTGGGGTCTTTCTCAGTCTATGTCTCTGGAAAGAGAGTTTGGCTAAGGAGAGAACACGTGTTAGAATCAGACACAGCTGGGTTTGCAGCCTGGCTCCATCACTGCTGTGTTGTTCTTGCATCTCTTTTGGTGGTAGAGAGACTCAATAATGGATGCATGTAAGGGAGTGCTGGGACACAGTGATTGGCAGGCGAAGGAGATGCTAGCGATGTTGGTGGTGTGATGATGGTGATGTTGGAGGTGATGATCGCGATAGTGATGGTGGTGATGATGGTGATGGTGGTGATGATGGTGATGGTGGTGATGGTGATGATGGTGATGATGATGGTGATGGTGGTGATAGTGATGGTGGTGATGGTGGTGATGATGGTGATGGTGGTGATGATGGTGATGGTGGTGATGGTGGTGATGGTGATGATGATGGTGGTGGTGATGGTGGTGATGATGGTGATGATGGTGATGGTGGTGATGGTGGGGATGGTGATGATGATGGTGTTGATGGTAGTGATGATGATGCTAGTGGCCATGCTGATGGTGATGGTGTTGGTGATAATTCTAGTGACAATGGTAATGGTGATGGTGATGACAGAGAGAGGATCGGGACAGGAAAATCGCTCCTCAGGGGTGGCCTAGAGCTTGCTCTAGTAGCTCAGGTGAAAAGGACTGTCCTTCTGCTCCAGAAACTTTTATTAAGAAATCTGGTGGTCCATGGAAGAGCAGAAAGTTCCTGGGCTTGCCAGGAGTGGTACCTGAAATCCCAGAACTTGGGAGGCTGAGGCAGGAGGATTGCTGTGCATTCAAGACCAGCCTGGGCTACACAGTGAGTTCCAGGTCAGTCTCAACTACATAGTGAGACCCTGTCTCAAAAAAACAAACACACAAAAAAAGAAAGTTCCGGGGCTGGCAGGGAGAGGGCAGGAGGAGGGCAGAGCCTCAGGACACCCTAGCTCTTCACCTTCCCCAGGCTGGAGGCCATGGCGCGCATGGCGGCCATGAAGGACCTCCAGCAGAAGGACATCTCCCAGTACAACCTAGAGATCCGCACAGGGGGATTTGTGCATTCAAGACCAGCCTGGGCTACACAGTGAGTTCCAGGTCAGTCTCAACTACATAGTGAGACCCTGTCTCAAAAAAACAAACACACAAAAAAAGAAAGTTCCGGGGCTGGCAGGGAGAGGGCAGGAGGAGGGCAGAGCCTCAGGACACCCTAGCTCTTCACCTTCCCCAGGCTGGAGGCCATGGCGCGCATGGCGGCCATGAAGGACCTCCAGCAGAAGGACATCTCCCAGTACAACCTAGAGATCCGCGAGCTGGAGCGGCTGTATGCTCATGAGACCAAGCTCAAGTCCTTCCTGCTTGTCAAGCTCAATGACCGCAGCGAATTTGAGGAGCAGGCCAAAAGGGAGGAAGGTACATTCCCCAGGGTGCTTGTGCTGTCTCTCTCTCTCTCCTCTCTCTCTCTCTCTCTCTCTGTCTCTGATCATCTTATAGCAAGATTGTCAATTTTACCAAATAAAAATCCAAGATACCTGGTTAAGTTTAAATTTCAAATAAACAATGACTATTTACGTGGGATAAGTATGGGGATATACTTACCCTAAAGCATATTTATACTTTGAGGGATGCAAAGTGTGCCTGCAGTTCACATGTACCTGGTCGCCCTGTGTTTTGTCCAGGTTCTCACACCAAGACTCTCCTTCCACTCTTTAGGGGAGACTGGTGTGTCCCAGTCCCCTAGGGTATCCCTAGGTTGGAGGATTTGCAGGGAGGATGACACGGAAAGCTCAGGGTGAAGACCAGAGGAAGCAGATGCCCCCATTGGTCGTATTGTGTGCAGCCAGGGGCTGTGAGCCCCTGATCAGTGGGGAAGTTTTATATCAGTGACCAGTGAAACTGGGGACCATCTGAGTTCCCAGATGCCAGCCAGAGCCCAGCCTACGAGCAGGCCTTTCTACCTCATCCCAGTCCCTGGCATAGGGTCGGAATCAGGTGGGAGCCACTCCAGCAGCCAGAGCAAGTCAGGCAGGGGGAAGTGTGCACACAGAGGCCCTGAGCTATGGAGAGGGTGGTTTGCTTCTAGAACAGAGAGAAGGCCGAGTGGTTGGAAGGGGTCATTGCCGTGAGGAGAGGCACGGGAGATGCACAGGGAAAGGTCATGGGGTCTTCCAGGCTGAACTAGGAGGCACACGTTTCTCCTGCACGGGATGGGAATCATCAGAGGAGCCAGGTGACGGCATCTGGTGGTGACAGGCACTGGGCGGTAGAGGGGACCAGATCTTAATTAATTCTGAGAAGCTTTTATTTTATTCCAAGGACAGCAGGGGCCTACAACATGAAAGGGGTCACGTGGCCAGAAGCGCCTAGGAAGATGTAGAAGAGGTCCTCTAATTGCCATGTGAAAGTCCATCAGAGAGATAAGGTTGGGTTCGGGAGAGTCAGGGCTGATACAGCATCCATGGCTGGAGAGAGCAAGGCTCAGAGGGAAACTTTCTGGAATTTAATTGTATTTCCCAAGCTTGGAGGCTTCCTAAGAACCCACCCTGGGGCCTTTCTTGGCCACTTCCTTGACCTTCGTTCTGTTCAAACATCACCTCAGAGAGGCCTCCCCTATCCCCATCTAAAGCAGAATAATGCGTGGATTTCTTTTTCTGTTTACTTGGATAGCTTCTTTTCCTTTCTATTTTTGTCTGATTCCTCCACTAAACGTTCCACGGGGCAGGGATTCTGCCTGAGCTAGCCTGGCCCAGTGTGGGATGCAGCTTCTCTCCTGTCTTGGAAAGAGCCAGCCACCTCCCCAAGGCCCCTTACTCTCTGTCTGTCACCAAACTGAATGGCTTTCGGCCTGGACCCTTTGGCTCTGGTTTCCCCTTTTCTAGCTTCCAAGGCAAAGAAGCACGGGAAGAAGAGCAAGGGCACGAGCTTCGAGAGCTACGAGGTGGCCCACCTGCGACTGCTGAAGCTGGTGGCAAACGGGAACCTGAACCACCTCATCGAGGACTTCCTGGCCAAGGAGGAGAAGAACTTTGCCCGCTTCACCTACGTCGCGGAGCTCAACGATGACATGGAGATGATGCAGAAGAAGGCGCAGAGGATCCAGGTCGGGCCAGCCCTCATCTCCCTGGACCCGGGGCCACCTGTCCCTCCCCAGAGCAGGTTCCTGGGGACGCCTGTAAGGAGCTCACATAAAAAGGGCCTCAAGGTTGCCCTCAGGTCTCCCTGCATTTTAGCTTCTCTGAAATCAGATTTGTCTTTCTGTTGACATCTAAGTTAAGGTGTTCGAGGCCTCCTGCCTCCAGGGGTGATGTTTACACTCCACAGCTCATTGTATAATCCAGGGTTCAGTCGACCATAGCCCCACAGCTCACGAAGAATGATTTTATACTTTTAAAGGACTGGGTGGGTGGGGGGACTATGGGAGAGAGATAGCATTTACTCTCTGCCCTTCACCTTAAAAGTTCTCTAACCCTCAACAGCTTCAGAGAACTGAGGAGAGATGGTTACCTCTTATCTCAGAGAAGCTTGACGAGCATGAACATAGTAAAGGCTCTGCCAAGTCCTGCAGGGAGGAAACCTGTTTACCTTCTTTTGAACCCATAATTTCCCAAAGTTAATTGGCTCCCTGGGCTACTTATTCCCCAGCACCTGAACAAACACCCTTCAGTAAGGATCTGCGCAGCTCCTCTATGCCCTTCAACATTTGGCTCAGCTCTGCTTTGTAGGACCAGGTCCCATCACAAGTCCCAAAGCGCCCTCTGCAGCTGCCAGGCCCTCGTGCTGTTCCCCGCCCTGCTCGTTAGTCCTGACCCTGCACCAATGTTACCTCCTCTGGGGATTCATTACTTTCCTTCGACCTGCGCTCTGCTTATGTGACAAGAGGAGCTGCTCTCTCACATAAGTCCCTGTCCCCAAATGTGGGGCGTGTGTGCTGGCCATGTGCAGCCTGCGGCTGGACTATAGGTGAGAACATTGACCTTATCTAATGATAGGTAAATTATAATGAGTATTAGGAAAATATAAACCTGCGATTTAGTGGATATTATTACTCAGGGAGATAATGCCAGCAAATAATAGGCACAGTAAACTAACCAATACTGCCTGGTTTCCAGAATGTTGTTAACAGATAACTAGGTATTAACAGCAGACCGTAATAATCCAAGTGATAATGGCAGGAGGAAAGGTAGTTTTGAATTTTCACAGAAACAGATGGCACAAAGGGGTAAACTGAGGAGTTTCTTCAAGCAACTGTTTACAAAGGTTTAAATAAATTGTGCAGGGCGAGTACAGGCCCAGCCTGCTCCGGAAAGGATTAAGGAGGAAACGCTTTCTGGAAATGCAAGGGGAAGCCGGAAGCAAGTCGCCAGTTTTGACCTCCCATTGGCTGGGCCCGACAGGAAGCCAGTGCCAAAGACACCTCCCATTGGTTGAGTCTAACCGGAAGCAGGCAGACAAGTCCTAGGCACTGCCTAGGCTGCTGGTGCAAGGCATAGAGCGGAGTGGGGAGGGGCGGGTAGGTGGCTCAGGGGAGAATGGGAACTGTCCAGGGGAGGGGCTGCTGCTTGAAGGACCCTTGGGCTGGGCTGCTCTTGACCCCTTCTAGAGGGATCATACACAGGACAGGTCTGGTACCCAGAGGGGCACCAGCGAGTGGGTCCTAAAGAGAATCGACCTTGACCGCCCATTCACCTTGAGGGCGCTCTCTCCTCTTCTTGGTCGCTGCCTGTCTTCTGGGGTTAGGAGGACCGACGTTTGCCTGCCCTCTCTCGGTCTCAGTGTCCCCAAGTAGAATACTTGGACTAGAGGAGTTTCCAAACTTGTGTTAAAAAGCTACGAAACATTTTTGTTTAAGCTCATATTATGAGGAAACTGGTATATAAGACAGGGCGGTCTTGGGTGAGTGGGACGGGTTAGGAGGTGGTACCCAGGATTTTCACACTTACTAGAGGGCTGGGGTCCTAACGGGCCCAGGCAATGAGAGAGCAAAACTGGCGACATTTCCGCACGGTAATCTGCTTGTTGTCCTTCACCCTCCAAACCCTCCAACATTAAGGTATTCACTGCCGACATTTACAGATCAGTGTATTCCACGTGAGAATCTGAATTTATGGTTTCTCTTGGAAAATCGGATCTGACAAGTTTGGCACACATTCTTGCGGGGAGCTGAGTTCCTATAAAAGTCCAGGCTCTCCCTCGCCATCCATGGGAACCAGCTGGTTCTGGGTCTGAGGCGGTGGCCCAAGGCCCAGGGGTTCAGTGGGCCTTTTAGTGTGCGTCCTCCACTGTAGGCGCACCGCCACTGCCCTCTTGTGGGGGTCCGTGGTATTGCGCGGAAGGGCTTGGCATGGCTCCGCAGGGAGGGACCAGGGTTCCCCTGGGGGTTGGAAGCGCGCAGGGCCCTGGACTTGCATTCTCCAGGAGGGAGCACCTCACCGGTACCAGTGGGATGATCCGGACCACCCCCACCTCGAGGAATGAGAGGACGCCGGCTGGACTCTGGGACCTGACCGGAAGTGTTCCTGATCAGAGGCGACCTTCATGTTCCCATGGGGACCTCGTCCCTCAGCTGTGCAGCGGTCCCCTGCTTTAGGACGAGTGTGCATGTGTGAGATGGGCCAGTCTCGCCTTTTCTGGGCCTCGGTTTCCCCGTCTGTGGAATGATGTGTCAGCCAGAACAGCAGCTTCCCAGGTCACTTTTTGCCACAGAACTGTGCAGTTTGGGGCACAGAGCTGCCAAGTGCCAGCTGGATGCATCTAGAAAACGTGGATTTCCAATAGGGAGGGTTAATTTCACACACACACTCACACCCCTGGGTGCCCGTTTCTGTACGGGATTGTACTAGAGGAGTCATCTGTTTAGCGCCCCCTCCCATGGTTTATGGTAGATAATCCCAGCGCCATCCAAGGGGTTCTGGGGGTCCTGTTGCCACAGTGGAATCACAAGATGCTTTGTAAAATGCAGACCCTCAGGCCCCTGCTCCGACCTGCAGCCCTAGATTCTCTGCGAGGGGTCAGGAATCTGCATTTAGCTGAGTTTCTGTTTGAGATTCTTTGTCCTGCTGTGTGGATGGACCAGCAGTGATTTAACCAAACACCCTACAGTAAGCTCTTGGATTGGCCCTGAGCGGGTGGTCTGGAGGGTCCACCTTGGTCTTCTTGCTCTGCTGCATTGGGAACAAGGTCCTGGGGCAGAATTGCTCAAAAGGATTAGACACCCTCCTCAAACCCCAGTGGTTCTAAAAGCCCAGCTCTGTAGCCAAAGCAAAGCGTTTGGTATCAGTTTAGAAATGCACTTTCTCAGCTGGGCGTGGTGGCACACGCCTGTAATCCCAGCACTCAGGAGGCTGAAGCAGGAGGATCACCACCAGTTTAAGGCCAGTTTAGGCTACACAGTGAGCTCAAAACCAGCCTGGGCAGGACTACATAGTGAGACCCTCTCTCAAAAAACAAACAAAAACAGGGGCCAGGGATTTAGCTCAGTGGCTCCACACCTGCCTGGCAAGCTCAAGGTCCTGAGTTTGATCCCTGGGACCAAAAACACACAAAAAACCCACAAAAATTACATTCTCATCTAGGCACCTTCCTGAAAGAGTTAAAGGCCTCATATTACAGTGATACATGAATAGCGATGTTTATAGCAGCAAACTCATACTAGCTAAATCTTGGGAAGCAGCCTGTATGTTCATTGATGGGTGACTGGATAAATAAAATGTGATATTTCCACACAATGGAGTACTACTCCGCTGTAAAGAAGGATAAACTTGAGTCATTTGTAGGAAAATGGATGCACCTTGAGATCCTAATGTTAAGTGAAATAAATCAGACACCCTTAAATAGTTCACGATTTCTCTTAAGAAACCCAAATCATAAATACTTTAAAGATCAAAATAAGAGATAATAGGGAACAGAGATAGGTTGAGTGGCGATTTCGGTTTAAACTCATTCGGTTGAAAGAAAACCAGACTTCTCTCCTCGGTGCAGTGCCCCGGTATAGTTGGGCTTGCAGCATCAGCCCCGCACCCTGCGTCACTCCCTCCTCTCTCCACAGGACGAGATCGCCCTCCTGCGGTCGCAGCAGAAATCGTCCCGCGAGGACAGCCGCTCTGTGCTGAGGCAGCTGGAGGTGAGCCGGGAGGGCCATCCTGTCTGTCAGCCCATCTGTCCGTCGGTCAGGCCTGTCCGGGGCTCTTTTTTTCTTCTCACTTCTGGGGATTGAGTCAGGGGTCTCCTACCTGCCAGATGAGCACTGGCCCATGGAGCCAAGACCCCGACCCTGTTTTAAGACAGAGTCTTGCTAAATTGCCCAGGCTGTCCTGAAACTTGTGATCCTCCTGTCTCAGCCTCCTGATGGCTGGGATTACAGGCATGCGCCTCCATGCCACAACTGTTTTCATTTGTTTAGACAGGCAAGGTTCTCACTAAATTGACCAAGCTGGGCTCGAATTTGCGATCCTCCTGCCCCAGCCTCCCAGAGTCCTGGGATTACAAGTGTGTGTCACCATACCCGGGCTGTAGATGTAATTTAACAAACTATGGTAACTGACTTACTCTGGCCACTTTATTAGCAGCTGAGTACAATTAAGTAAATCTAGAAATGGTCAGACAATGGCCCTGGCTCCTTCTAGCTATTTGTTTTGCTGTCTTTGATGTGTGGTTTATATTCCAAGGGTGCCATGTGGTTGCAATGAAGCTGTCACAGACCCAGCTATCACATATACAGTCCAACAGAAATAAAGTGGGGGAGAAAAAAAGCTTAAAAGTTCTTTCCCCGAAGTCTGAACCAACACTTCTGTATTAACATCTTATTGGCCATTCCTTTCCCAAGAGAGGTAGACAATAGGATTTTTTGCTGGTCACAATGTCACCTAGAGTCAGGGTTTTGTCATTAAGAGATAATGAGGGCCCTAACAAAAATATGAGCTCGGAACGTCTGGCCACAGAGTTCTGTTCCAAGCCGGCAGCTCCTGGACAGGGACTGTGGCCCTGGGTCAGTTCCAGTGCCCGACTCCACTAGACCGGGCGGTTTCTATCCTGCGTCTGGTGGACCTGATGGCAGCGCCGCCTCTGCTGGCCACCAGGGGGCGGCAGCGCACACGCGGCCAAAGTAGCCGCCTGCGGAGGAAGCCGGATGTGGGCTCTGCAGACTCGGTCCCGAGCTGGTCCCTACCCCGGGCCTGTGCCGAGTCCCTCACGGGTCGCGCTGGCCCTGATGACTCCGACGCAGCCCCGTCGCGCCCCGCTCTCTGGGGACCTCGGTGGCCTCCCCGGGATGGTCACTCCCTCGCTGGGTGACTTTGAAATGGTGATGTCTCCGCTCCGAGCCTTGGTTTCCTCATCTGTAAAATGGGTTTGAGCCCCGGTGGCGGCTGAGAGCTGTGGAGGTTAGATCGCGCCTGCGCACTAAGAGCTCTGCCCTTGGAACCACCGCAGTGAGAAAGCGCGGATCATAGTCTCCTTGTGGATAAATCGCTGCGGATTCAAGAGCTGAGCCTTCCTGCCCCGCAGCCCCACCCTGAGATCCCAGCCCTCTAGCAAGTTCAAGTCCAGCTTGGGCAACTTAGTGACCTAGTGAGAGCCTGTCTCAAAATAAAAGAGGAAAAAGGGGCTGGGGTGCAGCTCAGTGTAAGGGCCCGGGGTTCAATCCCAGAGCTCGAGCACACAGGAAGACACTTGTACACATATGTGCACGAAACAAAACTTCTGGGGAACTATTTACCCCTGGAACCTGACGATAGTATTTTCTCTTCCTATCTTTTCTTTTGTATTCTCTTTATTTATTCATTTATTTAGAGACAGTCTCTCTATCTGGTTTGGCTGGCCTAGAACTCACTGTGTAGCCCGGCTGGCCTCAAACTCACAAACATCCTCCTGCCTCAGCCTCCCGAGTGCTGAGATCACAGGCGTGCGCCACTACACGCATCTGTCGTTTCATTCTTTAAAACAATGTTGATGGGAGTGTAATCAATCAGCCCTGAGCCCTTGGACAGCTGAAAACCTGCAGCCTGGAGACGCAGGGCAGAGGGTCTGCAGCCGCAGCAACTGTCAGGGCAGGCTGACCTCGGGGCGGCGTCTGTCCCCAGGAGAAACTGAGGAAGATCTCAGAGGAGGCCAGCGAGTATGAGAACAGATCCGGGGAGATGGGCAAGACCCTGGAGCGCCTCAAGAACGCGGTTGGGAGCCTGTTTCAAAAGATCAACTGCGATGCCAGCAGAATCCTGGTGCACCTGGGGGAGACAGGGAAGATCACCGATGCCAACCTGCCTCAGTACTTCGGTGAGTCCCTCCCCACACAGTGACCTGCACCCAGGCTGGCCTGGAACTTGCAGCAATCCTCCTGCCTCAGCCTCCTGAGTGCTGGGCTCATAGAAATGTATGTGCCATTATACCTGGCTCTGTTGCAGGTACAATACTTGTGACCTCTGATTTTCAAATAGAATAGCTACAGCTCAGAGAGGAAAGACCAGATGGGGTCATTATGGGAGTGTAGGGAACAGCATTTTGGGCAAAAAAAGGAACAGTGTAAGCAAAGGCTCAGAGGCTAGAGCAGAGCAGACTGGGGAAAAACAGTAGTTCATTAAGACTGCACTGCCCCTGTTCCTGATTTGTAGTGTGACCCAGTGTTCCTCAGCCTCATCACCCACCTGCAGGGGATCCTGTGGCTTATGGATCCTGTGTCTCTGGGCTTCATGCCCTTAGGAATGAGGGCCTTGGGCTTCTCAAGAGCCAGATGTGGCCCTGCTAGGGTGACTATGTGGTGCGTCCCGCGGCCACACGCTGTGTACTGTCTTGCAGCCACCATTGAGAAGCGGACCAACGACCTGCTGCTGCTGGAGGCACAGCGGCGTGTGCAGGAGGCTGAGGGCGCCGAGGCTGAGGCCCCACAGCCCTTCGTCAACCCCTTCTGGGGCGGCTCTGCACTCCTCAGGCCCCCTGAGTCCATCAAGGTCGTGCCCCCCACCTTCGGGCCCGACCCCTTCAACAACAGGCTGGAGGATGGTGAGTCCTGGCACCTAGGTCCCCCCATGAGGCTCTGGGGGGCCGCTTGGGAGCCCTGTGGTGCCCCGCTCCCCTCTCACTGTTGCCTGGGGACTTTCATCCCTGTAACCCAAACACAGAGCTCTAAGCTTTGTTCTCCTGGCTATTTTTTAAAATCACAGCTGCCAGGCGTTATGCAGCTTACCTGTAATCCCAGCTCTCTGGGAGGCTGAGGCAGGAGGATTGCATATTAGAGTCCAGTCTATGCAATTTATTGAGACCATCTCAAATTTTAAAAGACGGTGACATCTGATCAGTGGCAGCTGGGCAGGTGTCCCCCCACCTTAGCACAGTGTTCTCAGCCCTTTGAATTCCTATGAGGGCCTCAGTGCAGCTGTTGGCAGTACCACCCACACAAGGGCAATGATGTCCTTGTGCAGTGCACATCCAGAACAGCTGCACATCAGAGCCCTGTCTCCTCACGTTTCCTCTCTGGGAGTCAGGCAGTGGTCTGGGCGTCCTTGGAAGTACAGCTCTGCCCACCGGCCCCTCCTTGAGCCCTGAGAGCTTTTGCTGCTCACAAGTCTGTCTTTGGCACAGTCGATCACCCCCTGGAGCACAGCGATCTGCGGCAGCTGGTGCTGGATGCCTACTTCGCCAGGGAGGCTCGGAGCAGGGACCTGCTTGCCGACGGCCTCTCCGAGAGGGGCGACGAGCTGAGGCCCAGGAAGAAGCTGACACTCTGAGTCCCACGGCCGCATGTGTACCGGAACCCAAGAGAATAGATGTTTTGTACTGTAACCTCTGGGCCCTTGAGCGCCGACCTGGGCGCGGAGGCTGGGGTTGTGGCAGCCTCAGACTGGAGGCATAGGTGGGTCAGCGCTGGGAGGGTGACTAGCCTGGGCCACCCTTGCTGAACCACAGGGAGGGGCAACGTGTGGAGAAAGTGTGGAGGCTGCACTGCACCCCAAGTATCGTTTGTTTTGGGGATGCTAGGGATTGGACTCATGGCTTTTGCACTGAGCTGCAACCCCAAGACCTCTCCTTTTTTTTAATTTTTAAGACAGAGTCTTGCTAAGTTGCTCAGTTGCCCAGGCTGGGCTCCATCTTGAGATCCTCCTGCCTCAGCCCCCCAGAGTGCTGCATTATAGGCATGTGCCATCACACCCGGTCGCTGTGTTGCTCTTGAGACCCCAGGGCCACACAAGGCACTGCAGGCCCTCACAGCAGGGCCTCAGGCCTCAGCGGCCCGGTCTTATCTCTACGAATGCATGTGTGCATGTTGTGTCTTCAGTGTCCCTCGGGCCAGCAGGTCACCCAGAGCGGTGCACAGATGGTTGGGGCTGGCATTGTGTGATTCCTGGGCCCTAGGATGCCCTTTCCCGCTCCTTTGGCCTCAGGCCCTTTGTGCCCTCCCATGATCCCGGCCACACCCAGTGCAGTCAATCCCGTGAGCAGGCTGCCAGTCCCCAGCTCGCCAGGAGCCCAGGTGCCCAGTTCCCAACTGCATGTGGCTGGGGAGAAGATGCGCCCCTGTCTGCCAGTTTGCTGAGGGCCAGGAGAGAGGTGGAGCAGGTGGGAGCCCGCCCCACCGTGACCACTGGAAGCTGTGGCCCACGCAGATGTGCTGAGCTCCTGGATGCAGCTGCGCCTGAAGTCCTAGGACCCAGTCTCTCCACCTATCTGTTTCCTAGGCTGGGAATCCTGCCCCAACACAGGCCTGACTGCTTTGGCTGTGACTTCGGTCACCAAGATCAGGCCAGCCCAAGGCCAGGTCTGGTCCTTACGGGCCAGAAGTCAGTACCCAGAGACTTCACCCTGTGATCCGCTGGCATGGCATGGCATCTGCCCTGGGTGCCTTTGCCTAGCCTGGCCCCTCGGTGGCTGACACCCCCGTACACCCCAAGGAAGCAGGGAAGGTGGGCAGCAGGAGCCCGGGCCGCCTGTGTGCGGCTCAGCGTGGGCGCATCGGGCAGCAGAGGACATCAGGCCAGATTCGCACCTCGCATTTATTGGACCGGGCTCGGGCGGGGTTTGCAGCCGGGCTCCCAGCCCTGCGCTGCGGGCGGCTCAGTCCTTCTCCTCGCCGTGGGTGATGATGTGCACCAGGTTCCGGTAGTCCAGGTTGCCGGTCACGTCGGGCGGGAAGGCTGTGAACATCTGGTCCATCTGCAAACAACCGGCAGGGGGCGCTCCAGGCCTTGTCCCGTCACCTGCTGTGGGGGTGGGGACCCAGCCGCGGATGCCGGGCCTCTGGGCTGGTGGGGGATGGGGGCGGGGAGGGGCCCGGTGGGGGCCCGTGGCTAAAGGGAGTCCAACCACCCACCAAGGAAAGGAGGCCCAATCTCTACGCAAACTAGAAATCTCGGATG